AGTCTGCTGGACTGCGTCAACAGCAGCTGAGGCGAAGCCAAGCACAGATCGTGTAGGGATATCTGTACACGAAAAGCTGATTGCGAGTTTCACTTGGCAATCGCTGAGACTCCAAGGAGCAGCTCAAGCGTCTCTTTGCCTATCGGACGTAACCAGCAGTAGCATCACACGAGAATTGGGGTGTCTGAAGCATCTGACATTTCTGTTTTTGGTCCAGCTGTGAAGAGTTTGGCCATGATTAACCCAAAATGAATAACAAACTGGCACTTATAGCGGTATCCTTAAGCCAAGCACATTGTGTCAAGACATCATATGCTAAATAACGTGAATAACTGGCGAATATTCAGAGAGACTTCCCATGAATAGCGTGGGAAATTTTCTATTTTGATCAGATTGTTTCCAATTGTTGGCCAAGTGCTGAGTTTTGCTACTGTGAGACTAGTGACAATTCTGAACCCTTGGTGACCACAGTTAATTCATGAAACCTATGATTAGACTGCTCAGCACTCAAAAGTATGACCATGGGCCCTCTGCTGAGAAAAAAATGTTACCTGGCCACACCGGACTATAAAATATGAATTAGGTGGCTAGCGTGTAACTTTCGGTGTGCATCATCACTTCCTGCGAGCATCCCATAGCTGAATAACAGCAGATTCAAACACCTACTCCGAATTGAGAACAGGGGATCGATTTTTAGTGGAATACCCGTGATTGAATGCAGTATGCATACCAACCATTGGGGAGGCGACCTTCTTCAACACACATAATTCCACATAGATAAAGTGTATCAAATGTTTCTGGGGATTCGCTTGCTTTGCACTTATGGACCAGGGCTAACTGGTTTAACACATGAAAGCAAAATGCTGCGACCCCACGCAGCCCCCTCCCTTTTGTAGTAACATTCAAATGGATTGGGCGCAACAAATTTTTCAGACTGACCAAGCGACCAAAGACTTGCAGATTGAAGGGTCTCGCTTTAAATTCTAGTGGTGGCACTATGTACGTGGTCAATTGGTTGTGTTTAAATTCATTTGGTTTGACTAACCATTAATTATTTTAAATATGTATGCAACTTACAGGTAATTTGGCTCTGCCCATACACGTCTGCTGGCAACAGGTATACTGAAAGAGAATCAATGCAAGTATTATATGTAGCCTGCGAGCCAATCGAAATGTGATGGCAAAGCCAGCGGGAAAAGAACTGCACACAGTGTTTAGTAATTCCGTTGTAGAAAATGATGCTTATGCTCTCCAACTAATGGGAGGCGAATCAACCCAACGATATCCATGTCGCTTCACATTACCTCGCACACTCAACTTACGTCCGAAGACCACCAGAAGAATAGTTGGGCACCGTAGCATGTTTGTCCGCCAAAACCTGCTGACTGTGTGAACACGTACCCCAGGCGTTTTTAAACAATCACCGCCAACTCATCTAACGTCACGATTGGACGAA